TAAATTTTGTCCTTCTTTCTTTTTTTCCTTTCTTCCTTTATTTTTTACCTAATCTACCCATTTAGTCCTATCAAATTTCACCTGTTAAATGTTCATTCTTTCTTTTCTTCTTTTTATTAACCCCATATTTTCCACCAAATGTTTTATGTCCAAATCCACCTGCTCAATTTTGTCATTCTTTCTTCTTTTTTTGTTCAATTAATATTTGCATAAATTTAATGATGTCCAATTTTATCCACTAGATTTTGTACTTCTTTCTTTTCTCTCTTATTGTAACCCCTTATTTTTACTCAGTTCCCCTCCCCCCCCAATTTAGCCATAACTAACTCCCCGTGCTAGATTTTGCAATTCTCCATTTTCATGTCTTAATTTTTTTATTTGTGACCCAATTTTAACCCAATATTTGCCTTAAATTGTCTAATTGCATTTTAATTTTGTCCTTCTTTCTTTTTCTTTCTTGTCTTTTCTCTTTTTGAATTCTGCCCCAATTTAGGCTTGTCACATTTCACCTGTTAAATTTTGTCATTCTTTTTTCTTTTTTATTAACCTGCTAAGTTGTCTAATATCAACCATTCAATTTTCTCATTTAATCTGTTTTTATCCCATTTGTCTCCCAAATTTATTCAAGTCAACATCCCCCTCTTAGATGTTGTGATTCTGTCTTTTATTTCTCTTTCATGTTTACTCAATATTTGCCCCAATTTAGTCATGCTAAGTTTCATCCACTAGATTTTGTCCTTTTTTTCCTTTATATTCATAGCTGTAGTTGAGTCAGATGAAGGGATGCCTTCTGGTAAAATCTATCACACTGATAGTATTTAGCAGTATTTAGCAGCCTTGTATGATAGACTAAAAGCTAATACTAAGTAATTCAGCTAGCAAACATAAAGCTGCGTCACAGATATGGGAAAATTTTAAGGGGAAAATTTATAAGAATGTGTCAAATACTCTATTTGGCAGCCTTCTGCTTATTACTCTTATAAATTTCCACAGATTCTTTCTCTCTATATGAACGTAAGCAGAAAATCTTATCAAAGCATAGCGCTTGTCCTGAATTAGTGCTGAAAAGCAGCTAATTGGGTTGACCGAGCCCTGCGGTACACAGGTTATCTATGAGCTGAGTCACTCACGGCCTCTTCATTCATGGAGATTTGCTCTAAAATAAAAAATCAAAGAGTCACCAGATATCCATCAAGTACAAGTACAAATACATCTGTACACAAGACATGCTTGTTTTTTAGGACAGATTAGCAGATTAGCATTTCAGCCAACGCTGTTTCAGCCAGCTCTTCTTTCTAACAGACTCCGTTTCTCTGAAAGGAGTCACACAGAAGGTCAGTTGAGCTTTGGCCTCATGTTTGACATCTCTGTGATTCCCCCAAGAGAGGAAATTCAATTACAGCAGTAAAATCTGTCACGTCGTGCGTGCAATCAGACTTAATGCTCTCTTTTGTAGCGTAGCAGCAACGGTGCTGTGACTTCAGCCATGAAGTGCAGATGTTGTGGGTGCGTAAAACTTTTATAAAGCAATGAGAAGTTATTTCAGTTCACATTTACAGCTGTAGTCAGTTTGTGTATTGATTCTCTTTCAGCCTTTACATTTCTGTATGTTATGTAGGCTATGCTGGCTGGAGCAGCTAGTAAGAGCAGCTTAATCACTCAAAATCATCTCTATTCTCTATATGGACCATTCTATTGAATTAGTTCACTCCTACAGTAAATAAAGAAGAAAACAATGAAGTGTTCAGATCTTAGAATTTTACAAGGATTATGTTCTGATTTATTTAAACCCAAGGCATTAATACAGATAGTAATAAGCTAAATATATACACAATCATCATTTACAGCAGTCATTATATATACCAAATGATCTTTTCTTTTAGTGTGATTTTTCCATTTTCAATCATCTATCTACTTTTATTTTATGTTTAAATTGTTCTCTTATGTTTTCTCTAAGTGGCTTTTTGTTTTTGCAGTATTTTGTAAGGTATAGTATGTCTACTGGACTCCAGGATGAATAGCGGCTATCGTGATAGCAGTTATAAAGATCCTAAAAATTAACAAATAGTTTCTATTGGGAGGTTTCTGTTCCAACCTCTAACCCCTAAATTTACACAATTACTCTTTTTATATGTCACTACTGAAGCACATATAGTTCTAGTCTGTGGGCGGAGCCTCTTTAACCACGGCCCTGTATTTTGGGGCAGGAAGTGAGGCTTCATCTCTGTCACTCATGAACACATGGTGAGCAGTTAGATGCCAGGAAATGTGTCCCAAAGTCTAAAAATCAGTGTGGAACATTATGAATTGTCATATTTTCAGTTCAGTATGTTTTATGTGTGTTCCAAGCTGTGTTTGCTAGTCATGTACTGGCTGCATTTTTGAGCTCAAGGTTGTCACTAAGCTAAAATTGTCACTACCGAAATAGTTACATTTTAAGTTGGAGGTGCTGAAGTTTTAAGCATTTACATGAATTATGACATCATGCGCCTAAATGTTGCTGAGGAAAGTGATTCGGCTCACTGTAGCTCCTCTCTAAATCAAGTACACCCGGCTCTCTGATACACTCAAACTGTACTTTTTTAGCAGTTCCAGTCCTGAAATCTGGGAATGCTGCAGCTCCCTCAGCCCCCCCACTTCCTGAGTCACTGGTGGGAGATATAACGGCTGATAGAAAAAGAATTTATTTAAATTGCAGGACATCATTAAAGTTTTTCAAGTTTCAAAACAATATAAGGCAAATGAAATGGAATGTTCAATTATTTGTTTAAAATACATTTTATATAAATATTTAAATTCAGAAAGCATTAGAATGAGGTTGTTCTCTCGATTTGTTTATCTCTTCTTAAATCCTCCTTTCAAGGCTTTTCATATAACATGATACTCATATGTTTCATATCAAAATGCTCTGTTATCTTCATCACTACTTTCCAAAACCGCTGCAGCAACTTCAGCAGCTGTAAACTCTCTGCACGCCATTTCACATGTGTCTCTGATGTGGACTGAATGAAGAATAAAGAGGTTCCGGCGTGATGGGTCAGTCCTTAGTGATTTCCTGAATGTCCATTGGTCAGTTTCACACAGAATGTAGACGGACACATGAATCCACCAGTGAGAGGCAGATGACGTGTATCTCAGCTCCTCTTCATAGCCTCATAATTCCGGATGTGAGTCACGTACTATTTCGTGAAAAGATGGAATGAAAAGGGCGACTCTACAGATTCATGAAATGTTTGAACTGTATTTCTGTGCTGGATTGTCACAGAGATACAGAAACACATATAGAAACATTCAATTTGATGGGCTGGTGAGTTCATGGGCCCCAGAGGGTTAGAAGTCCCAAATGTGTTTTCAGCTCTGACTATCTGTATAGTGTGCATCACATGGGTCATAAAATAAATGCTTTTTCAACCAAACTATAGAACTATATTCAATAAGGACTTATTTGGGTTTGAGAAATGGACTGTAGGAAGCAGAAAGCCATGTGAGATGTTTTACAGTAGCCTGTCCCTGTTGTATTGATGTAAATTGGTAGATTAGGTTGAAACTGAAAATGCTTTTAAAGCATCATTAGAGTCTTTGGTGGTGCTTTACTAAAAGACTACCTACACAGAGACTTATAGACACCAATAGGCCTTGACTACAATGTTCATGAAATAACACTGGTGTGTTTTGCACAGCTTAAGCCAACAATCGCGAAAACGATATGAGATGTTTTGTAGAAAATGACATATTAACGTAAATTTTAGTGACAGACAAACAAATGAAACTAGCAGAAGCCTACACTCTTCTCTTTAAAGATGGTTCTTTAAGGGTTCTTCAGTAAAGACAGTAGTTCTATATAGATTGATAAACACTCAAAGAACCATTTGCATGCTTTAATGGTTCCCTGTATGTTGAAACAGTTCTTCAAATTGATGGAGAATGTGTTGCTTCTATATAGCACCAAAAAGGGTGCTGTAGGGTAAGGACTAAGCATGGAGAGCAGCATTTTTTAATTTAATTTTTAATTTGGTTTTTAATTTTAATGATTCTTCTCTTTTGAAATCTATTATTTTAATTATGTTTTAATCACATTAAAAATTTCTATCATTGTTTTATGATAGTTTTCAAAAGATTTTGGCCTTAAAATCCATTCATGGTGGAGGGATACATAATACACAGGGTGCTTTGAGGCAAAATAGTCCCCAAAGAAAACTTATTATTTCAGATTTTCCACTATTTTACCATCATCAACATTCCAAATAAAACTCAGAAGACATGTGTAGGTTCACTGGTGGTTTTGGTTAGTAAATAAAATGTCTATATTTGTGTTGTAGTCATGGCGACCCCCAGTTCCTATCACCACCACTATAAAGAAAGCTGAACCTTTCACACCAAACCACTCTGAATCACTCTGTTTACATCCCCCGCAGATGTGTTAGAAAGTCACTGGAATACCACGGGTACGTTTTTTCCAATAAAGAGGGCAGTTTTTGGGCGTACAAGATGTTTTCAATACAGTGGCCAGTTAGTGGGTGTACAAGGTAAATGATTCCAATAAAGTGGCCAGTTAGTGGGTGTACAAAATAGGTGTTTCTGATAAAGTGGCCAGTTGGTGCGCACACAATGTAGGTGTTTCTGATAAAGTGGCCAGTTAGTGGGTGTACAAAATAGGTGTTTCTGATAAAGTGGCCAGTTGGTGCGCACACAATGTAGGTGTTTCTGATAAAGTGGCCAGTTGGTGGGCACACAATGTAGGTGTTTCTAATAAACTGGCCAGTAAGTAGGCGTACAAGGTGTTTCCAATAAAGTGGCCCATTAGTGGAAGTACAAGGTGGGTGCTTCTAATAAAGTGGCCAGAGAGTGGAAGTACAAGGTGGGTGTTTTAATAAGGTGGCCAGAGAGTGGAAGCACAGGGTGGGTGTTTCTAAAAAAGTGGCCTGTTAGTGGATGTACAAGGTAGGTGTTTCTAATAAAGTGGCCAGAGAGTGGAAGAAAAGGTGGGTGTTTCCAATAAAGTGGCCAGAGAGTGGAAGAAAAGGTGGGTGTTTCCAATAAAGTGGCCAGTTAGTGTACATACAAGGTGTCCAGTTTTGAGAAATGGGTGGAATTCCCCTTTAAGCTCCAGGCCTGGGCACAGGGTTTGTAGAATATGTAGAATAAAATTCTGATTAATTGAACTGCAGCGCTGCAGCCAACAGTAATGTTCTTCTGTTCTAACCTTATTTTTTCCTTGTTCTCGTGCAGTTATTCCAACAGAACGCTTGTTTATGAGGGAGACTGTGTTAGCTATGTTGTTTTCCAGTCTGTGCTTATTGTTGTTAGTTGTTATTCCACTTTTTTTTTTTAATAATTTCTCTGTTGGTATTTTGCCCCCGATACACAGTTTCCTGCCATTGTCTGTCGCAGACGGCCCCTGGCCTCCTTCGAGCGGGTCCCTCCCACCAGCCCCAAACATACTCTCATACTCTCTCACACGCACACATTCTCTTTCTGTCCTTTTCCTCCTCCGCTCGCAGCCGCAGAGTTTGGGGGATCCTGATACCGGCCGACCGGAGAGCAGAAAGAGGGCGAAAAAGTGCCTGAATACGCAGAAGGATAAGACAGACATACACTTCCACTTCCACTTTAGCTCTATTTATCCCTTTTTTGCCTTTTGTTGTGGACAGTTGCTTTCAGCCGAGGACAAAAAGTGACACCCTGGACGATTGGTGCATTGACCATGCCCAACGGTGCGCTGTAGAACTCGTCTAACACTGGATGTCCATACCGTTAGCTGGTGAGTGACCACTTATATTGTTATATATCCTCTTATATCGTTATCTTTGTCAGCAGCGATGCATGTAATCCTGTCAATGCACTCTAAAACTGCACTAATGCATCTCAAGGAATAAGGTTGATTTGCATATATGCATGAGAAATTGGGCCACATTCAATACAATTTATACTTACCTTCAATAACAACACAGTAAACAGACCTAATTCTTATGCATGCATGTGCAGTAGTCAAGATCATACGGCAGTTACGCTGTGCACGTCAGAGGAAATAGCAATGTAAAGGAAAAATGCATAACGCAAGAAGCGTAAGTGACAGTGATAATGGTAGAGTGTATAAAAGATGCTAATGGCACACTGAGAGCAACTTATTTGGGCTTTCGCTCTTTTTTACCCTGTTAAATTTCATGGATGTCCCTGTTTTAAGGCGTGTTCTTCAGAAATACATTAAAAACATTGAGTATTGTTATATTAGTGAGGAATTATGAGCACACTTAAGAATCATCTCTTTTACATTCAACACCCTCTCTTTCTTCACTTTCTCCCTGTCTCTCTCTCTCTCTCTTCTTCCCTTTCTTCACTCTCTCTTTCTCATCCTTTCTTTCTCTTCCCTGTCTCTCCTCACTTTCTCTCTCTCTCTCTTTTTTCTCTCCCTCTCTCTCGCCTCATATTACCGTTTTCCTCCTGTTGTTTTTTCGGTGCAGGTTTTCTCTTCAGCTCTGCTCCCACGCTCTCGCTCTAAAGGGAAGGAAAGAGCTGATAAGCATTGGGCTGGAGAGAGAGAGAGTAGGAGAGAGAGAGAAAGAGAGAGAGAGAGAGAGAAAGAGAGAGGAGAGGAGACGGGGAGGGAGAGAGAGGGAGGCGTTTTCTGCTGCTGTTTGTGTGTCTTGAAAGGAGGGAAATTTTTAGCGAAGCGTGCCTTTTCTTCACTTGTTTTGTTGTTTTTGGAGGTAACGTTTCGTTTGCTGGGCGGACGGGAGGGGGAGCAGGGGGAGGAAAGGAGGGGGGTGGGGGTAGAAAATTGGGAACAGACCCACTGTCTCAGAAGTGAGTCAGACAGCGTGTGCATGTGTGAATTGGAAGAGGAAAAACAGCAAAACTTGTAACTTAGTAAACTTAGACTTTGAGAAAAAAGGACACTGAATTAACATCATTCAAAACTGCGCAATTCCACAAGAATAAAATACATTGCATCAATGCAGCTACTGTCAAAAACTAATTACACTGAAAGACTGTAAATAATGGAATATATTTCATTCATGTGAAAATGAAATAGTCAATGCAGGTGAAAATGTCATTTACATGTCCCCGAATCATATTAAATTACATAAAAATGGATCAGTCTCATCAATCTCAGCTAAATCCATTCAACACATCAGGCTTAGCCTGCTTAGAAAGTGCAGATAAGGCTAAACCGCTCATGCTGGCTGTTCATGAAACTAGCATAAAGCATACTGTTGGTGTAAAATGTGAAAAGATTCATTAACAACTCAGTCAGCCACGACATGTTTGGTGGCCGTGTTTGCTTCTCTAGTTTTAGCACTGGAGCTTTGAGGCTAATGTAGCTAACAAGTAACGGAAGCTTATGCTAACACCAATTAGCATAGTGGTAACCTCATAACTAAATCATCACACCATGTGGAGTTGTTCAGTATCTCTAACAGACTTGATTATGTGGTTTCCTACACTTTTATCTAGAAACATGGACTAAAATACATTAGCATTGCTAATCACAGTAGCAGCCACCTGGAAGACTGATTTCTTTCCATACTTTAGTTCATTATTGTAGCTAACAGTATAAGAGATGTATAGAGTAGCCTAAATCAATACTCAAGCAAAATTATTGACCCTTGAGTAACATAATGAAACAAGTAAAAGTAAAGGTACCTTCCAAAAAGCAACTTGAGTAAACATACAAGAACATCAGGATGCAAAACTACTGAAGTGAAGACTGTGGATCTATTCTTTTTCTTTTTTTAGGATTTTTGGGGATAAAATAAAGTACTAAAGCTTAAAAGGCAGAGCTGTGACCAATCACAAACCAGAACAGATGAGTCAGCGTGGTTAAATATGTTTGAATATGGTTCACTGTAGATGAATATGGTTCAGTATGGATGAATACAGCTGATTGTGGTTGAATATGGTTCAGTATGGTTTAATATGGTTTAGCATGGTTCAGTACGGACTAATGTTGTTCAATATGGATTAATATGGTTCAGCACAGTTAAATGTGGTTAAATATGGTTAATTATGATTCAGTATGGATTAATATGGTTCAATATGGATGAATATCCCTCAGTATGGTTAAATATGTTTAAATATGGTTCAGTATGGATGAATATGGTTCAGTATGGCTAAATATGCTCAAATATGGTTCAGTACAGTTCAGTGTGTTTAAGTATGGTTAATTATGATTCAGTATGGATTAATATGGTTTAATATGAATGAATATGGTTCAGTACGGTTAAATATAGTTCGGTATGGCTAAATATGCTTAAATATGGTTGAGTACAGTTAAATATGTTTAAATATGGTTCAGTATGGTTAAATATGGTTCAGCATAGTTAGATATGGGTTAGCAAAGTTAAATATGATTAAATATGGTTCAGCATGGATTAATATGGTTTAGTATGGATGAATATGGCTCAGTATGGCTAAATATGTTTAAAAAGATTCATTAACAACTCAGTCAGCCATGACATGTTGTGTCAGGTGTCTAAAGTTTGCTTCACTAGTTTTGGCACTGGAGCTATGAGGCTAATGTAGCTACCCAGTTAGCAAAATTTGTCTGGCTCACTTGTGGGCCACATCCTTGGTTTATTCTGGTCCAGTATATGGCTGGGTCCTTGGCCCAGATCTGGCCCACACACTGTAAAGTGAGTAGAACTAAAGGATTTAGCCCATATCTGGTTCCAGTCTGGCCCAGCTACACTGTTGGTTAACAATTTTCATGCCATAATTGTCCCACAAATGTAGACATGAGGCAAAATGACATGAAGCTGTCCAGGATCTGACCCTATTCTGACTTGCATACCTACCATCTACCCAGTAGTCAACCAACACTCACATAGGAAAGTCAGAATTGGCCCAAAACTGTCTGCTATCTGGGTAACAAGTAATGGACGCTTATGCTAATACCAATTAGCATGGTGCTAACCGCATAGCTAAATCATCACACTGTGTGGAGTTGTTCAGTATCTCTAACAGACTTGTATCAGTATCAGTATCTCTAACAGACTTGATTATGTGGTTTCCTACACTTTTATCTATTAATAACCGGTATGGTTAAATATAGTTCAGTATGGCTAAATATGTTTAAATATGGTTCAGTATGGTTTAATATGATTCAGTATGGTTAAATGTGGTTAAATATGGTTGAATATTGTTAATGATGGTTCAGTATGGATTAGTATGGTTCAACACAGTAAATTATGGTTAAATGTGGTTAAATATGGTTCAGCATAGTTAGATATGGATCAGTATGGATGAATATGGATCAGTATAGTTAAATATAGCTAAATGTGGGTAAATATGGTTAAATTTGTTTCAGTATGGATGGATATAGCTCAGTATGGTTAAATATGAATGGAAAAACATATAACAGAGTAAAAAGTAGATTCCTTTACTCACTAATATACCTTATTTAAAGAAAAGTATCATGATTTGAAAACACTCAGGGAAGTACAAGGCCATTGATATTTTAAAGTATGTGTACTTCAGTAAAGGTAACTAGTCACTACTCACCTCTGAACAAAATGTTATACTGTACATAGCAGTAGATCATGATTGCATGCGGTTTGAATAATGCTAACTGGCTGCACATTACCCCTGTAGCTTTAACCCCTCAAATGCCCAGGGCGCACCATTTTATTACACACTTCTATAACCTAAAAATAGCTCAGCCAGTTTGCTTTGAAGTCCCTGTAGTTACTGAATAATAAGCCTTGGTGTGTAATAAGCCTGACATTTTTAGGGATTAATGCACATCTGGATATACATTTAATGGATTTAGCACAAAACATTAGGGCATTTCTTGGAAATCCTGCAGTGATTGTAAGTTTTCAATCAGGTAAGGTCAGTTCCTGCTGGTTTTATCAACTAATGAAGCATTTCTGTATTGAAAGTGAAACAGGGAGATTACCGTGAGGTTTTCTCGGACGCTGCTGAAGTCAATGGAGGGAAACCCCTCGTCTCTCACACAAGAGGAAACAGCCCCATGGCGATGTGTGCTTCCATCCCCTTTGGCACCGTTTCCCCTGACCGTTACTGCATGTGTGTTTAGAAGTGGTCAACCATGTCCATTTAAAAAAAACATGAAATAGGGAAGTGCTAATGTCTCGACTTCTGGAACATCAAAGCAGATGGAGTTTCAGTTTGAGTACTTAAGTGTTTCTGTTGACGGAGTGAGTGACTAACATGCGTCATACGCCAGTGTCCACAACAGGCCAGCATGTTTTAATTCCTGTTGAAATGGATAATTATACATCATGGGAATCTGAGAATAAAAAAATGGGGGACAGCATCTTAACCCCTAGTGTTGTTACTGTCACTTAAGGATAGTGTCACCATATAAATATAAAAAAAATATATTGTATATAGAGTAATTACTACTACTACTGATAATTGTAAGTTTAAATGATATAGCACTTATCTCAAACTCAAAGATGCATTATGATTCCTAATAACAGCAAATGAAACACACACAAATACCAACACATTAACACAACATTAGCATACAGGTGTTAAAGCATTAGGTCCCAGGTTGGCCTGGAGAAAAACTCCTCCGGCCGATGTACAATTTCCAGCTCATGGCTACTACGGTAAACTCCGCTACTTTGTTGATGGTGTAGTCAAATTAGACAAATTCAGCTACTGTGGTAAAAATGTCCCAGTGACCTAGTCAAACTCCGCTATCGTAGTGAAAAATGTCCCAGCTCGTGGCCTAATCAAACTCTGCTACAGCAGTTCAAAAGGTCCCATTGCACTGTTTAGTCTAACTTTGCT